TATCAACAAATTTGATACCCATCAAATACCAGGATGCATCACAACCTTACAACGTGCATGTGAAGCAAGAGATTGCTTCACTTGCCAACAAAATAAAAAAAGAGATCCCGAAGAGATAAGGAATATGTGACCAAAAGAGGACAGCTACATATGAGGACAAACACTTAAAGAAGATGTGACTATAATGGAGAGGCCAGTAGGTTTTGAATGTCAAAGCACAAATTGTTTAGTGCTATATGATGTATGCAATGATATAAGAGGCCAATAATTTTGCTTCAAATAGATGTATAAATAGAGACCTTTGGGCTAAAAGAAAGATAGAACGAATTAGAGAGAAAAATTTGAGCACTCAATTTGTGAGAATGCTAAATCTTCTTTTTGAATCTTGTACCTCCGACACAGTGAAGGCAAGAAGCTGAAATAGCAAAAAACCCTGTTAAGGCAGATGGCCGCTTGAGGGAACAGGTTGCATATTCAGAGCCTGAAGGTCACTCGGTTATAAGAATAAAAGCTTGAGATCAAAACTAAGGTAAAACTATTGTTTTTGTTAAATTTAGAAAGAATTCTTCCAAGATCTTAAAGAATCGTAGGGATCAATTATCTCAATGATTATACTTGAATGTTCATTCTTGATGTTTGAATTATTATCTCGTTATATTATCTAGAAATGCCAGGTCATACAATTAAAGGATTAAATAATTTGTTAGAAAAAGTATTAGAAAAAATAAAAATTATTAAAACCCAACTAGAAAAATAAAGATAGAACATCTGAAGAACATAAAAAACTGATGACAATATAAACAAAAGATTACAGATTATGATAATTTATTAAACAAAAGGATGGATTTATTTGTTAAGATTCACATGGAACGGATTTGTTTGTTAGAATTAAGAATATAAAATATAAGATACTAATTTCTAAAACTATTCATAAAAGAAGGATGTGCCTTACAATAAAGAAATATATCTCATTAAGGGTAAAATAGACATCTCCACGAAGAATTTAAAAAGCTTGGTCTACTAGGCCAATTAGAATAATGCCCCATCGGGGGAGTGCTTAGGATTTGTTTGTATCACTGACTTGAGCAATAACATAGCCTTTTTAATACCTAAAATCTTTACATCGTTTGTGATCTTCATACTCTTCAAGTCAGTCAAGTAACCCTAGGGATCCACCATCGTCAAGCCAAAGATTGAATTCGAAAGCCTATCCAACTTCGATGACAACACAATACCTCTTCCCTCACCCACAGCAGTCAAATTCGTAATCGGGGTTTGTACCCACTGAGTTTTTGTCCTACTAGTTGCCCTACTCTTTAGATCCAACCCAGTCACATGCTCTTTCTCGTGCCTTGCCTTCTCTAATAATATATCGGGAACTGCAACAAAAATCTTGAATCTCTTCTTCTTATTCCTCAAAGAGTAATCCCCTATTTCTGGGATACTCTCACACTCTTGACTTGACAACTTATGCAACTTTCTCAAGTTTAGACTCTTGACAAGGTATTCTTTTGGATTCGAAGTACAATACTTTTCGATTTCCTGCTTTAGTCTTTCCCCTCTCCTATCCTTCCTACGTGAATCCATCCTCTGGTCTGTGGCCTCCATACATAGTCAGACTCTTTATCTTCATCATCATACTCCGTAGATGCAAACAACCCTACATCATTTTCCTCAAACTCATCAAATTTTTATTTTTCATCATATCTCTTCTCTTAATTCTCCTCTTCCTCCTCATCTTTCCCCTCCACAGGACCCTTCCCACGTCCCCTGACAACACCAGTTGCCCTAGGTGTTGGGACTCCTTGAACAAATCGGAAGAGATTAATGGAGCAATATGAAGTACTGATCACTCATCAAACAAGAACAAGAATTAAAATAAAGAAAAGAAAAAATTGGCAAATAAACCGATATTTTATTAAACAACCAATGGAGATAAAATACAATTTCAACAATTTTTGCTCACTAAAACTAATGAAGAGTCTACTATTTATAGGGAAGATGTCCAAACCCAAGATGGAAACGAAATAAAAGAAAATCACGTGAAATAAAGGAAAAATATTTTCTCAATATTTTTCCAATAAAACACGTGAAATAATGGAAATAATATTTTTAAATAGAGGAGAAATTGGCAGAGGAATCGATGTTTTATTCAACAATATGGAGAGAAATTACAAAACTTAGCAATATTGGCTTCTCTTGTCTCTAAAACTGAATGAAGAGTCTACTATTTATAGGGAAGATGTCCAAACCCAAGATGGAAATAAGATAAAAAAAATCACGTGAAATAAAAGAAACAATATTTTTTCAATAAAACATGTGAAATAAAGGAAATAATATTTTTCCAAATACGTGTAAAGAAGAAAAAATATATTCACAAAAAATTCAACCTAATTTGGGTCACAAAATCCAACAATTTCTACCTTGACACAAATTCTGATGCAACGAACGAAACTTCAAAATTTCTCCACTTGAAAAAATAAGTCCGACTGCATCAGAATAAACCAATCTCTTCATTCAGCACCAAAACTCTCCACCTCACGAAAAACACATCTGCCTAGTGTTCACAAGCGACACTCGAACCCAACCCCGAGTTTCCAAAATTCGAACAAAGAATTCAACAAATACCAAACAGGCTCGAAGCATACCCTGTAGCAGAATCCATACCAAATGCTTGAACTGAAGGCCCCTTGTTAGAACTGTCACCTTCAAACACCCCGAAAGCATGATCACACACATTTGAAACCTGGTACCTATGATCCACGAGTCCTCCCTTAGTAAATGACTTAGAGCCCAACACGAAAGGTACTGTACCAAACTGGATCTCTTCCATGATACTAAGCCTGTCTAAATGTCTCTTCATTGGTTATGTGCGCCCCTGCAGGAAATACAGATGAGAACTCTTTCGTCCTTCTAGCACAACACGATGACCCCTTTCGACCTTCAAGACTCCATCTTCAACGGATAATGTGCACCCATTAGAATCTAGGGTACTCAGTGAGATGAGATTCTTCCTTTAGTCTGGAACATGCTGAACCTGGCCAAGAACTCGAACTGTCTCATTCAATAACCTCAATCTGACCTGACCGATTCCAACAACCCGACAAGATTGGTTGTTTTCCACGACAACTCCACCTTGTTCCACCGTTTCATATGTTTCAAACCAGGCTATATTGGGACACATATCGAACGAACACGCTGAATCCAGAATCCACTCCTCATCAGGCTTAGATTCCATGTCAGAGACGGTCAGTGCCACATCTTTGCCATCTGAAAATCTCTCGACAATATTTGTCTTGCTCGAATGATCATATTGCCTACCATGATTTGCAGACAAATTACCTTTACCATGCAATTTGTCGCAATCTTTCTTGATGTGTCATTTTCTCATGCAATAGAAACAAACTTGATTACTGAAGTTCACCCTCGACCTACCCCTCCGTTGATCACCGTACGAAACCAGAGCTTCCTCATCCTTAGCTCCAATGATATGCTTCATCTTCTTCTTTGAAAATAAAGCGTCATAAGCATCGTCAATGGTGAGTGTGTCACGACTGTAGAAGATCGTGTCCCTGAACGATGAATACGAAGCGGACAGTGAGCACAACAGGATCAAAGCTAGATCATCTTCATCATTCTTGACTTTTAACGTTTCCAGATCAGTGAAATTTTCCTTGAACACGGCCACATGGATCTCCAAAGAACTCCCTTTTGCCATGCGATGAGAATAAAGTCTCTGCTTCAAATTCAACTTACTCGTCAATGTCTTCGTCATGCACAATTGCTCCAGTTTTAACCACAATGCAGCAGCTAATTTCTCCTTAACCATGTCCTAAAGAATGTTATTAGAAAGATGAAGATAAATCATAGCCAGCACCTTCCGATCCTTCCGTTGCTTCTTCCCTGTTGTCCAAGTTATTGACATTTTATCAAAACCCAATAGAGTATCGTCCAAATCCATCTGCGCCTGGATTACTTTCATCTTTACTTGCAATAGAGAAAATCTTGTATTGCGATCCAAAAGCGGAATGTCATACTTCATGGTAGCCATCGAAATTAGAAACCTCAAATAAACTCAATAACCTATAGCTCTGATACCACTTGTTGGGACCATTTGAACTCACCTGTTGTGAAAAATCGGAAGAGATTAATGGAACAATATGAAGTATTGATCGCTCACCAAACAAGAACAAGATTTGAAGTAAAGAAAATAAAAAAATTGACAGAGGAACCGATATTTTATTAAACAACCAATGGAGAGAAAATATAATTTCAACAATTTCTGCTCACTAAAACTAAATGAAAAGTCCATTATTTATAGGAAAGATGTTCAAATCCAAGATGGGAATAAGAGAAAAACAAATCACGTGAAATAAAGGAAGCACTATTTTTTCAATAAAACACGTGAATAAATGAAATAATATTTTTCCAAATACGTGCAAAGAAGGAAAAATATATTTCCAAAAATTCCAACATAATTTGAGTCACAAAATCCAACACTAGGAGCCCCAATAACCGTGGCCTTGCGATTTGGTAGGTCAAGCGCTGCCCCGACCAAAACCATTATTAGAACGTGTAGTAAACCCAGTAGCATCACGTCCTTGCCCAACAACATAATTTGCCGATGATTTCGTATTAAGAAAGTCTAGTCTACCCTTGGGTTGCACTCAGGCTTGCATACCGCCAAGAAGCAGGACATGTAGGTTTAGTGTTGAGTTCAGGAAAACCCCATGATGGGAAAGCAAAACTGAAGCGTTTCGAGGGACATATAACAGGTAGGGCGACAGGGCCGACGCTGAGATTTTAGAGACCTTAGACGACTAATTATTATGAGGCCATTCAATATAATTATTTTTTCACAAGTGTAACAAAATTTAAATATTTAAGTAATTAATACTTTTATATTAAAAAGATGACTTTCTATAATTTTAAAGATAGAATGAAACTTTACCGGGTGAGGTACTACCTTAACTTGTTCTAATATATCTGTATATATATATTCAATCAACTTGTTGATTACCATATAAAGGGGTTCCTGTGTCAAAATATGTACTTAAAATTACTGCTTGTTTGAAATTTATTATGTGGTAGATTGGGGAGCTGAAATCGAAGCTAAATGAAGATGACAAAAGTGAAAGCATAGTTCGTGTGAAGAAAGAAACAATTGTGCTTGAAACTAATGAAAAAAGCAAAGCTAAAACCATAGTGAATTCTCTGATTAAATGCAATAACGATTCTACTCATCTGAACTTAGAGAATCTCCATGGCACCAATGGGGTAATTTTTGCATCAGTTTTTACTGATTTCAAAGATGGATCCTTTGATAGCACAGATTTAAGTGCTATCTTGAATGAAGCAACAATAGCCCGATTGCTGCTATATCTTCATCTACTAGTGGGGTGAGCCCACATCAATTCTTGGACTTACAGAATGGAATCACTTCAACAATGGCTTGCACTTTCCAATTTAAAGACTCGAAAGCAAACATCATTCAAGATGTCCACAAAGATTATCAGCCACAATTCGTCAAGATTAAGGACAATTTTTTCGGTGAGGAGTCATGCAGTGCCTTCTTTTCAGATGATCAAGCTCCGACCCTCCATTGGTGCTGCATCGAAGATTGGAACTAGGTCAATCCACCCCAAAAAGCATATGTGATGATAAAGTAAATCGGCAAATGGGAATCAGAAATCAAGCCATCCAAACAAATTTTGTACAGAGTTTAATCTTGGAATTATCATTAAAAGTACTCAAGGATCTCTTTCTCTTCTTCTGCGTCGCATAGGATTAAGAAGATAAGAGAAAGAGAAGCAGGCAGAAGGGGCCAGGGGATGGGTGTTAAGATGTTTTTGGGCTTTTTTTTAGAGTCCCTTAAAATTTGAAGTTCAAGGCTGCCTTACTTGCCTTGCGCCAGGGCTGGCCCTATAGGGAGATAAGTAGAGGCGATGCTGGGCAATGGGTATTCGATAATTTTGCTGAATTTGTGTAAGAGCTTCAAGACAAATACACTAAAACCTCGATAGATGAATGTTCAATAAACTAATAATCTCGTTTAAATAATAAAATTCTTTGGTTTTGATTTGGGTTAGTGTACTAAAATAATAATCCGGCTAATTCTTTAGTCTCGATTTGAGCAAGTATACTAAATTAATAACTCCACTAAATACATAAGATAATAATTATTTTTTGAGATCCTCTGAGGCCAAACGAGTATATAAAATAATAATTGCTTAAATCAATAAAAGTTCACACTAATAACTGTAGATGGATCTTGCTACATGTACATCAGAGATTACATAATGAATTACATAATACTATATGATACTCTACAATTTGTCAATTTAAAACACAGTTAACTTTTTCATCCAGTATTTTTCTTCCATGTCATATTATTAATCTCTTTATGTACAATTTTGATGTACAAGTTACAAAATCCAGCTATAGATTTATGTTCCATGTGTACATGAAATAACTTGATAATTAATCTTCCAAAATATTAAACTTTGAAGTCAATGCATGTACATTTATGTTTCCTCTTTAATGTATGTATAATTTTGAATTTCACCACATTCAATGTTTTTTTTTTAAATTTCTTATATGTCTTATGA